GTAAACCTGTGAGTTTCAAAAGATGGAGATGATCCTTCTCAGGGGGTTTACACTGATTCAGCACAGAACTCCAGGCAAATTGTTTACTGAGATATTCCAGTTCACATAGCTATAAAGGAGGATTCTGCTGTCATTAATTGAACTGTTCCCGAATCCCAGTGTTGAGTATCTCATTTTCCAACATGACTTCTCATCATGAGTGAGCTGGTTCTTGGCTAACAGCTCCAGCAGTTATTTGGCCACACCAGACCTCTAAGCCATTTGCCTAACTGCATCTAACATCCGCTTCTTTCTTTCACATCCTCACATCTCTTTTTGCCTGGCTCAAATCTTTTGTTATAATCATTACGCTGCATATAGCTTGCCCCATTCTTGTACTGTGGTACCTCCCTGGTAGCAACTCAGCTGTCAGCTTACAAAGGACCTGCTGCTGAGCAGCTAGCTCCCAGGCTGTGACTGGAGGGAGACAAAATCATCCTGACTTATCTCACCTGAAATTCCTATCAACGGGTTAACTTTGTATTCATTTAACTTTGAAAAACATACTACGTTGATAACTAACTGCTGAAGTTTTGGCTCAGTTAACGTTGGAGTTTATGATTGAAAAAAATTGTTCCCTAGTTTTGCATTAACTAACCCTACATATTTGCTTTGACCTTATTTCAAAGGCTTTCTTTCGGCCTTGGGTGTTAAAGCCATAGACAATTGCCTGTAGAAGGAATATCAACTGGTATGAAACCAAAAAGACTTGATTATGTAGATACTGTATTTGTTAGTATAGATTAGATTAAAATTTTAGTTTGTATTTTTGTTTGGAAATTGTAATTTCTTAAGCAGTTAAGACATTTATTTTATCAAACAACAGGCATCTGATTGCATTGCACTTTTTACTATTTGAGTGATGACCCATCTAAAAACAGCTAGTGCTTTTGTTGCTTCTGAACAGTATTGTGATTAATTTAAATGACTGATTTCATAAATTTCTCTCATTTCATATGTTTTTAAATTCAGTATAATGAGTCACTAAATGAAAAATGTTCTTTAAATATTTAAGGTGTGAGTTGGGGAAAATAGCAGTATCTACCCGATGTGGTCGTTGAGAGTTAATATATTTTACAGTTTAGGCAACCAAAGAATTTTAATGTTGAGCTACTTATTGTGGACGGGATGATTCTCCTACAAAAAACATAGACAGAGTTGGCCAGATCCATGGATAAGGGCTTTAAGCAGGAAACGGTTTTCATTTTGCCCTTAGGTGCCAAGAAGCATCCAAGAGGGAACCTCAGAATATAATGGAAAGTATTCTCTTGTTTTTATCACAAAGACCATTATTTAATTTTTGAACCTGGACAGTGAATTCCTGAGTTGTTTCTTGTATCCTTTCTAATAATAAATATGACTGTTGTTCTGAGTTAGTTTTTATACTGTTGTTGAATGAGGTAGTCATAATCTCTGAATTAGCATCAAGGTATTGCTTGACCCAAACAATATAGTAATACATATTTGTTAAGAGAGTCCAAGAATTTAACAAGTATGTTGAAACAGTAATTTTTTTTATACATTTCAACAAATATTTATTAAATGTTTGCTATATGCCAGGCACTGTTATGAGCTCAAGGGATACTGTAAGGAAAAGGACAGAAAAAAGCTCTTGCTCTTTTGGAGCTTACTTTCTGGTATTGGAGAGATAGGCGATAAATAATAAACCCAGTAAATAAGTATTTATGTGTATGGAGGAAGGTGGTGACAAGTTCTGTGGAATGGGAAGATCAGATTTAATGTTTAGTGGCTGAGTTGCAGTTTTAAATGAGGTAGTCTAGGTAGGGCCTTATTGAGAAGGTGATATTTGAGCAAAGATTCAATGGATGTGAAATTACCTGGCAGGAAAGGTATTCTAAAATATTCTAGATGGGGAGGGGGAAGAGTCAAGCCATAGGCCCTAAATGGGGTGTGATTGACATGTTTGACCTATAAGGAGACCTGTGTCCAGGGCAGTGATTCTCAATCTTCCTAATGCTGCAGTGTATTTTCATTGTTAAAAAGGGGTCAAGGGGTGGCTCCTGTAGCTCAAGTGGCTAAGGCGCCAGCCACATACACCAGAGCTGGTGGGTTCAAATATGGCCCGGGCCTACCAAACAACAATGACAACTACAACCAAAAAATAGCCGGGCATTGTGGTGGACACCTGGAGTCCCAGCTACTCTGGAGGCTGAGGCAAGAGAATCACTTAAGCCCAGGAGTCAGAGTTTGCTGTGAGCTGTGACGCTACGGAACTCTACCCAGGGCGATAGCTTGAGGCTCTCTCTCAAATAAAAAAAAAAGGGGGAGTCTCAACCCACAGGTTGAGAACTGCTAGTCTAGGGCAGAAGGATGAAGAGGGAGTTGCAGGAGATAGGGTCAGAGCAGTAATGCTAGATTGCCTCTGTGCTAGAAAGACTTGCAGGTCATTGTAAGGAAGAGAAGGGAGGTCATGTTATATGTTAAATTTAGATCTAATGAGGAAAAATTTCAATGTAAAAAAAAGTTTTGAATTTCTACTGTCTTCATTCTATAGATTTTTTTTTTTTTTAGTGACTTCTATGGGCCATTCATTGTGATAATATTGTTTTCCTGCTAAGAAAACAATAACAAAAGCAAGTGATAATCCTTACAGAGATTATCTTGGTTCCATGTAAATTACTGTGTTTTGTGTATCGTCATTCAGCTGACTTGGTGGCACTGTCATTGGTGCCTGGCTGTCCTTTGTACTACATTCATTTCCGGCCACCCCTCTGGTCTTACTGTCAGTGAGACTTTCTGTTTGGTGGGGTTTTGGGGTTTAGGGATTTATTTTTTTATTTTTTGTTTTTGTTTGTTACTGTTGATTTGTTTTTTATTTTTTAAATTGATTTATAGTGAAATGCCTAGTAGTTCTTAGTTGGCACACAGTAAGAAATTGAGCTCTTCACCATCTTCTAGGCTGTGGCATAACCTTGTACAAGACAGCTTAATTTTTAAAGTGGGGCTGCTGACGCTGATTGCTTTGTCCTGAGCTTTTAAGAATTTTATATATATATGTATTCTTAAATTTTTATTTATTTATTTTAAGACAGCCTCAAGCTGTCGCCCTGGGTAGAGTATTGTGGTATCACAGCTCACAGCAACCTCTAACTCCTGGGCTTAAGTGATTTTCCTGCCTCTGCCTCCCAAGTAGCTGGGACTACCGGCGCCCGCCACAATGCCCAGCTATTCTTTGGTTGCAGCCATCATTGTTTGGAGGGCCCAGGCTGGATTTGAACTTGCCAGCTCAGGTGTATATGGCTGTTGCCTTAGCTGCTTGAGCCACAGGCGCTGAGCCTTAAGAATTATATTTTTATTTTTTATTTCATTTATTTATTTTATTTTTGAGAGAGAGTCTCACTTTGTCATCCCTTGGTAGAGTGTTGTGGCATCATAGCTCATAGCAACCTCGAACTCCTGGGCTCAGGTGATTCTCTTGCCTCAGCCTCCCAAGTAGCTGGGAATACAGGTGCCCGCCACAATGCCCAGCTATTTTTAGAGACGAGGTCTTGTTCTGGCTCAGACTGGTTTCGAACCTGCTTAGGCAATCCATCTGCCTTGGCCTCCCAAGTGCTGGGATTAAGGATTATATTTTTAAAGTTACTTTATACTGTGGAAATAAGTAACTTACAAGATAATATTTCTGTATAACAGTTTTCTCATATGTCTATAGAGTTTCTCTGTACTAAGTCATGTCATTGACATTATTTTATGTGTGTTTTGGGCTCTTTAGAATTCCTTAGAAAGTTGTATTAGCCTCCATGAAGATGAGATGTTATCAGAAAGCTTAGAAAAAATTGTTGTTGAATACTATATTTAGTTCTTTTTTTTTGAGACATAGCCTCAAGCTGTCACTCTGGGTAGAAGAGTGCTGTGGCGTCACAGCTCACAGCAACCTCTGACTCTTGGGCTTAAGCAATTCTTTTGCCTCAACCTCCCAAGTAGCTGGGGCTATAGGCGCCTGCCACAACACGCAGCTATTTTTTGGTTGTAGTTGTCATTGTTTGGCAGGCCCAGGCTGGACTAACCCACCCACTCTGGTGTATGTGGCTGGAGCTGGAGCTGGAGCTGCTTGAGCTACAGATGCCTAGCTGCTGTATTTAGTTCTTCTTGCTTTATTTTATAGGGCATGTCAAGGAGAGGAAAACAGAATTATTTGAATTAATTTGAAAATAACCGTAAGATCTAGAGTAGAAACTAGGGTAGGCATAACCATTTATGGAAAATAGAACTTTTTTTTTTTTGTCTCAAGTTGCGTATTTTTAATAACAGATTTTAAGATCCTTGGGTTAGAAAAAGAATTTTGTAATTTACAGCTATAAGGGACCTTAGCTTATGTGTTTTCCCATGAAAAGTTAGTACCTGATGAGAAAATTACGAAACTGAAGCAATCCAGAACAAAGGTGAAGAAATACCCGTTAACGTGGGCAAATGAATAAGTTACCTATTTTACCGCCACTGGTTTTCTGTTCATTAACACACTGGCCTGTGGTTTTAATAGTTGAACCCTTTTTCTTTTTGAGACAGAGTCTCAGTTTGTCACCCTGGGTAGAGTGCCATGGCGTCATAGCTCACAAGTGTCTCAAACTCTTGGGCTCAAGTAATCCTCTTGCTTTAGCCTTGTGGGTAGCTGGGACTACAGGCCCCTGCCACAACTCCTGGCTATGTTTTTAGAGATGGGATCTCACTCTTGCTCAGGTTGGTCTTGAACTCCTGAGCTCAAGCAGTACACCTGCCTTGGCCTCCCAGAAAGCTAGGATTACAGGCATGAGCCACTGTGCCTGGCCAGTTGAACTCTTTTTTGAAAGTCAGTACTATCCCTATATCTTCTTGTACTTAAATCTCTGTTAACTGTGTGCATAGGGGCCCTACTTGGTGATTTGGGAAATAGTGAATATGTATTTGGTAGATGATTTAGAAGTATACTGAAGTGTCTTAACATATCTGTCCTTCTTGTTTAGGAAACTGAAAATGGCCCTTCAGCTATGCTAGGTCTATAATGGGAAGCGCCACAATTCGGTATTTCTGTTACGGGTGCCTTTTTACATCTGCGACCTGGACAATTTTGCTTTTTGTTTATTTCAACGTCAGTGAAGTGACTCAGCCACTTAAGAATGTGCCCATCAAGGGGTCTGGGCCCCATGGGCCATTTCCAAAAAAACTCTATCCCCGTTTCACTCGGGGTCCAAGTAGAGTATTAGAGCCACAGTTCAGAGCAAACAGAATTGATGATATGAAAGATGGTCACGTTGAAGATCCAGTAAAAGACCACTTGAAATTCTCCTCTGAATTAGGTAAGTATATTTAATTTTTAGTAGCAGCCATAAAAATGTATTTAATAATTGGTAGTTAAGTTCCTCTTTAGATCATGTGTTGCTGAGGAGGTTAGAAATATGTCATTTTTTTCTACACTGATTTGTTTTGTTTGTGAACTAGCTGAGGTTCTATGGTTCTTGTAGACTTAGGGGGAAGCTATATTCTAATTTATCCAGTTCTAAATTAACTATTTTATGAGGACTTGAGAGAAATTAACAAGGTCTAGAGAAGGAAAAAAAAAAAAAAGAAAAATTAAAGGGCTAGGAAGAAAATGGAAGCTATAGGAGACAGTTTTAATTACTAGGATTATCAATATAGGAAAGAAATGCCCGAAAGGTGATTTGATTGTATTTAACTTACTTTGAAAAGCAGACTTAGTTAAAACAGAACATAAAGCTTTAGGTTTTGAAATAAGCCTGTATTATTTATACCTAATAAGATTTCTACTTATGGGAATTATTAAGGTCTTAGAATATATGTATTAAGTATAGCTTATGAAATCTTAGTATAAAACAGGAAGGTTCCCCGCCCCCCAAATTAAATTCTCTTCAATCTGTTGTATATACCTTTGAATACTACCATTCTAGAATTCTGATTTTGGCAAATTTTAAGTGATAATAAGTGAGCTGTTTTTGATTATCTTTAAAACTTTAAAAAAAAAGAACTTTGATCTTGTCACATTAACATCAAGTTATAGGTCATTTAGGAATAAATACATCTAGTAAGAGATTTTTTTTTTGAGATAGTCTCACTTTGTTGCCTTCTGTAGAGTTCTGTGTCATCACAGCTCACAGCAACCTCAAATTCTTGGGCTCAAATGATTCTCTTGTCTCAGCCTCCTGAGTAGCTGAGACTACAGGCACCCACCACAGTGCTCGGATATTTTTTAGAGATGGGGTCTTGCACTTGCTTAGGCTGGTCTTGAAACTGTGAGCTCGGGGAATACACCTGCCTCGGCCTCCCAGAGTGCTAGGTTTACAGGTGTGAGCCACCGCACCCAGCCCTATTCCTAAGTATTTTATTCGTTTTGGTGCTGTAAATGACATTTTTCTCTTAAGTTCATTTTCAGACCATTCGTTGCTAGTATATAAAAATACAACTGGTTTTTGCATGTTGATCTGGTACCATGTAACTAACAAACTGATGTATTAGTCCTAAAAGGTTTTCTGGGAGGTCTTTGGGATTTGGTTTTTCAGTTAGGATATTTGAGTTTCCTTTGAATACCTACAATTCTCTTACTACTTTCAAAGACAAATATAAAATCCATCCAAAATGACAAATTCAGTGTTACTTCTTTATAAATATTTCACCAAAATGACTATGAATAAATAAAAGAGCTAGAGATTTTCCCATTAATGCTTTTTGAAAAAGAAGATGGATTAATTGAGCTCAGGAGTTTGAGACCAGCTTGAGAAAGAGTGAGATCCTATCTCTACTGAAAATAGAAAAACTAGCCAGGCATTATGGCGGGCCTCTGATAGTTCTAGCTACGAGGGAAGCTAAGGCAAGAGGATTGCTCAAGCCCAAGAGTTTGAGCTTGTTGTGAGCTATGATGCCATAGAACTTTACCCAAGGCAACAGAGTGAGACTGTCTCAAAAAAACAAACAAAAGGAATAAATTTAGCTAGGGAAGTGCAAGACTTACATACTAAGCTATAAAACACTGCTGAAAAAATTATTTATTTTATTTTATTTTTATTTTTTATTTTTTTGCAGTTTTTGGCTGGGGCTGGATTTGAACCCGCCACCTCTGACATGGGGCTGGTGCCTTACTCCTTTGAGCCACAGGTGCCATCCTTTTTCATTTATTTATTTATTTATTTTGAGACAGGGTCTCACCATGTCGCCCTTGGTAGAGTGCAGTGGCCTCACAGCTCACAGCAATCTCAAACTCTTGGGCTTAAGCAATTCTCTTGCCTCAGCCTCCCAAGTAGCTGGGACTATAGGTGCCCACCACAACACCCGGTGTTATCTTGTTACAGTTGTCATTGTTGTTTAGCTGGCCTGGGCCTGGCTCAAACCTGCCATGTTCGGTGCATGTGGCTGGCTCTGTAACCAAAGTGCTATAGGCACCAAGCCTGAAAAATTATTTAATACTCCTAAGTAAGTAGGAAGACATTCTAGTTCCATAGAATGGAATACTAAATACTGTTAAGATGTAAGGACTACCCAAAGCAATATATAAATTCAGTGCACTCGCTATCAAAATGTCAATGGCCTTTGTTAAGAAGGTGGGAAAAGTTATCCTAAAACTAATATGGAATTGCAAGGGGCCCCAAATAGCCAAAACAGCCTTGAAAAAGAACAGAATTAGAAGACTCATATTTAACAATTTTGAAACTTTCTACAAAGCTACAGTAATCCAACAGTGTGGTGCTGGTATAAGAATAGATGTAATAATTAGTGGAATAGAACTGAGAGTCCAAAAATAGACCCTGCCACATCTTTGGTCAACTGATTTTCAAAAAGGGTGCCAAGACCACTTAATTGAATAGTCTTTTGAACAATAGTGCTGGGACAACTGGATATCCACATGCACAAGAATGATTGGATCCCTATCTCACACCATACACGAAAATTAACGCAAAATGGATCAAAGATGTAAAGGTAAGAACTAAAACTATAAAACCTTTAGAAGAAATCATAGGGATCAATCTTCACATTCTTGGATTTAGCAATGATTTCTTAGATATGACATCAAAAGTGCAAGCAGCAAGAGAAAAAATAGGTAAATCAGACCACCTCAAAAATAAAAAACTTCCATATGTAAAAGAAAACACCAAAAATGTAAAAAGACAACCCATAGAATGGGAGAAGATATTTTAAAATCATATCTTTAATAAGAATTCAGTATCCAGAATATAAAAGAATTCTTAAAACTCAACCATAAGGCTGAGTGCAGTGGCTTCCATCTATAATGCCAGCACTTTGGGAGGCTAAAGCAGGAGGATTGCTTAAGCTCAGGAGTTCAAGACCAGACTGGACAGCATAGCAAGACCTTGTCTCTACAAAAAAACTTTAGAAGGGCTATGAGTGCAGTGGCTCATACCTGTAATCCTAACACTTTGAGAGGCCGAGGCAGGAGAATCACTTGAGGCCAGGAGTTCAAGACCACCTGTATACTAAGAGTGTCTCTATAAAGTATAGAAAAAAGTAGCTGAAGGCAGTGGCACATAAGAGTAGACCCAAGGTCTACTGAGACAGGAGGATCATTTGAGGCTGTAGTGAGCTGTGATCAGGCCATTGTACTCTACCCTAGGCAACAGAGCAAGACCCTGTCTCCAAAAAAAGGAAAAAACAAAACAAAACTGGCCAGACATGGTCACATATACTTGTAGTCCCAGCTACTTGAGAGGCTGGGACAGGAAGATCATTTAAGCACAGGAGTTGAAGGTTACTGTGAGCTGTGATCACAGCACCATTGAAAACTCAACAGTAAAAAGGCAAATAGCTCATTTTAAAAACAGGCAAAGGATTTGATAGACATTTTTCCCAAGGGGATATACTACATACAAATGGCCAAAAAGGACATGAAATAATGCTTAACATAATTAGTTATTATAGAAACACAAATTGAAGCCAAGATGAGATAGCCATTTCACATCCACTAGGATGGCTATAATTAAAACAAGAAAAGGAAAGTAACAGGTATTGGTGAGGGTATGGAGAAATTAGAACCCTGATCCATTGCTGGTGGGAATGTAAAATGGTGTGGCCCCCATGGACAGTTGATGCTTCCTCAGTAAGTTAAACTGAGTTACCATTTGACCCGGCAACACCATTCCTGGGTTTATACTTGAAAGAATTGCAAACAGGTGTGCAAACAAACGCTTGTGCACAAATGTTCATAGCAGCACAGTTCTCAGTAGACAGAAGGTGGGAACAATCCAAATCTTCATCAGTTGATCAAGGATGAACAAATGGTGATCTGTCCATACAATGGAATATTATTTAGGCCTAAACAGGAATGGAGTTAAGATACACGCTGCAACGTGGGTGAAACTTGAAAACATTATGCTAAGTGACAGAAGATCACATATTGTAGGATTCTATAAATAGGAAATGTCTAGAACAGGTGGGTAATCTTTAGAGACAGAAATCTTTCTAATTAGTGGTTGCCAGGGGCTGGGGGAATGAGGAGCAGCTGCTTTTATGGGAATGGGTACAGTTTCCTTTTGGGGTAGTGACAGTATTCTGCAGCTCAATAGTCATGATGGTTGTACATTATTGTGAATGAACTAAATGCCATTAGTGGTGCATTTTATGTTATGTGTGTGATTCTTATAGTCAAAAGTGGAAAAAAATCTGAAATTCCTTATATAAAATAAATTTAATTTAGAAGAAATTAGTATAAATCAATAATAGTAATAGCTAAAACCATGCTGATTTCTAAATAGTAGATCATCATTAAACAAACAGAAAAGAAAGAACCTGTGAAAGGTTCAAAAATTTAAAATTAAAAACAGTTTCTCATTTACTCTGTAGGTAATTATAAAATTAATTGAAATAGCTCCTCCTGCATGCTAATTAATTGAGGTTTGGCTACAGTTTTATTTGAGCAGGGAAGGGAGAAAAGTAAACTAAAGTGATCTTTTCATGTGGAATAATTTTTCATCAAATGATGTATAATAGAAAATGATTCTTTCAGTATTCAACATGAGGCCACCCTCTGTTTGATACTTGTTGCATCAAAAAGTATTTAGTGAGAATCTTTTTTGTGCCAGGCACTGCTCCAGTTGTTAGATATCAAGCAATTTTAATTTTATTTCTCATATGTTTTGAACATAACCAAAGTCGTCTTCTCTTGTGGAGTTTCTTTCTTTGTGTAAAATGCTAATAGAGCTTTAAAAAGAGATATACTGCAGCTTAAAAAGTTCTAAAGAGAAGTATGTAAGAGGTAATGCTTCCTAAATTGGACCTAACTAAGGACACTAGTCAAGGGTTCTCTCGGCGGGGCGCAGTGGCTCTTTCCTGTAATCCCAGCACCCTGGGAGGCCGAGGTGGGTGGATTGCTTGAGCTCACAGATTTGAAACCAGCCTAAGCAAGAGTGAGACACCGTCTCTACTAAAAATAGAAAAATTGAGGCAAGAGGATAGCTTGAGCCCAAGAGTTGGAGGTTGCTGTGAGCTATGACACCATAGTATTCTACCCAGGATGACAGCTTGAGGCTCTCTCTCAAAAAAAAAGTGTTCTCTTATCAAATAAATTGGGGAAACACTACATTCTGTATCCCGTCTCTTGACACCTGGGAATCCATAAAACAGTTAACTTATTAAAGATTGTCCTACATGAAAAAAACTATTTGATGTATTTTTCTTAATTTATTTGGCCACGAGATTCTTTTTGGCCCTCAGTGGGGTTCTGTAATCTGTTGCTTTTATGGAAAGTTACAATGTTTTTCTCAGTTGCAGGTAAATTTTTCTCTTCACTATAATAAAATATTCCTAAAATTATGTCTTGTGAGCTGGTGGTGTTTGTGCTCAAGACTTACTTGCTTTGAGCCAGACTGATGTAAGTTTGATTTCCACCATAGTTTACTTTTTTGAAAGTGGAGACAACCTAGATTCGAGAAACTGTTACTTGATTAATAGTATAAAGTCAACATTTTCTTAGGATCAGAACATCCTCACGGTAACTGGCGATCCTTTCTGGGTTGCATGCACTGACTGTAACTCTTCTCTCTTATAGGCATGATTTTTAATGAACGTGATCAGGAGTTAAGAGACTTGGGCTATCAGAAACATGCCTTCAATGTGCTTATCAGTAATCGCTTGGGCTACCATAGAGATGTGCCAGACACAAGGAATGCTGCGTATGTTCCTCATTTGTTTCTGCTAATACATTTTAATAACACAGTGCATTCAGTGTCAGCATAAAAAGTCCTGAGGGTGGTGTTCATGTTTTGCAGTTAAATGTCATGATTCAGCATGAGGACACTTGAGACAGATTTCCACTTCTGTTACACTTGAAGTTCTGTGGTCTGATGATTGTACTAATGAAGTTCTAGAATTTGGTGTGTCTCTTGACATTTTAGATCATGTGGGGAAGAGAAAGAGGCGTACTGATTTAATACCTGAGCATAGTTTATTTTAAATGTTTTATTGGATTCACAGCAAAAAGGAATTAAAACCAGGGAAGAAGTTAATGATCTCACTTTTTTGTTTAATTTTCATTCCTTAAAAGGCTTCTCATTCATATGGTCAGTTAGTCATACCACAGATAGACATTTGTTCAGCATCTTCTGTTTGCTACATACTTCATTAAGTCCTGGGAAGAAACAGAGTAAGATGTGGCCATCCCTGGACTCTCCAGGCCTGGCGTCCAGCAGGGAGGCAGGTGTGTCAGCAAATCCTTCCAGCAGCATAGGAAGAGGGGCTGAGACAGGAGCCGGTGAAAACCCAGAGTAGCCAGGAAGGCTTCACAGACAGGTGATGACGGACCCTGTTACGAGAGAAGGAAGGTCTTTCTGTGTACAAGGACCAGCACGTGGAGAGCACTGAGGCATAAAACTGTGAGGTTTGTTTAAGGGACTGTGGTTCACTTTGGCTGTAGAGGGAGAATAGCAGGAGGCTGGAGGTAGGCAGGGGTCAGACACTGGAGGGCTTTGTAGACCATGTGAAAGAACTCAAGACTTTGGGTTTTATTCTTTAAGTTCATTGGTTTTTGTTGTTGCTTAAAGCTCCTTCCCCTTTTCATCAAATAATTGTTTACATGGAAGCTCTTCTATTATCTCAATAGATCATAGTTTATTCAAGTCTTTTCCTATTATTGGACAGAAAGTAAAATTTTCAAATGGAAATTTTTGTATGTATTTATATGTGTTATATGTTTTTATATTATAGTTTTATATGTATTATATGTTTTTTTATTTCCTTTTGAATGTGAGGAAAATCTAGATATTAGCTTGTGACTACTGCATATAAATGCTGCAGTGATTCACATTTTTATTAAATAAACTCACATTTTTATCTAACTTTTCTACTAAAAAGAGAAAAAACCCCAACTTTTAAAAATGTTGACCTGGCCAGGTACAGTAGCTCATGCTTTTAATTCATGAGTTCAAGACAAGCCTGGGCAACATAGCAAGACCCCATGTCTACAAAAAATTGGGTGGCGCCTGTGGTTCAGTGAGTAGGGTGCTGGCCCCATATACCGAGGGTGGTGGGTTTGAGCCTGGCCCCAGCTGAACTGCACCAAGAGAATAGCCAGGTGTTGTGGTGGGCGCCTGTAGTCCCAGCCACTGAGGAGTCTGAGGCAGGAGAATCTCCTGGACCCAGGAGCTGGAGGTTGCTGTGAGCTGTGACGCCACAGCACTCTACCGAGGGAGACAAAGTGAGACTATCTCTAAAAAAAAAAAAAAAAAGAAAAGCAAACAAACAGACAAAAAAATAAGCCTGGTGTGGAGACACATGTCCATAGTCCCAGCTACTTGGGAGGCTAAGGCTGGAGGATTGCTTGATCCCAGCAGTTCAAGGTTATAGTCAGCTATGATTGTACTACTGCACTCAAGCCTGGTTGATAGAGCAAGACCTTGTCTCTGAAAAAGATTAAGATGTTGACCTAAAAATAAGTGAGGTAGCAGGTATAGGAGGGAGAAATTATTAACAAAATGTGAACTCTGGAAAAAGAAACTACGTTGTTTTGTTAATTTTTTAAAAAATTGTCAAAGCATAAGAAAGAGGCTAAACGAGGGGATAGGAAGTATACAGTGAATAATAATCTAAAACATTGGAGCCTTTTAAAGTGTCAGAATTTCGTCATCTTCTTCTTTATAGATGTAAAGAACAGTCCTACCCGACTGACCTGCCGGTTGCTAGTGTTGTTATTTGTTTCTACAATGAAGCCTTTTCCGCCTTGCTCCGGACGGTGCACAGCGTCATAGACCGCACTCCCGTGCATCTTCTTCACGAGGTCATCCTCGTGGACGACGATAGTGACTTCGGTAAGTCATGCTGTTGCTGGGGATGCTGGGTCTAGGCTGTCTTCGGGGTAGCCTTGACACCTGCCAACAAAGTAGACCACTTGCAGCCACAGAACAGATGTGGCTCTGGTGGGTACGATTGTGACATAATGCCTACCCATCTCTTACAGGGAATTTGGAAGAAATAGTTTCTTCGTATTTCATTTTCAAACTGCACTACCCAAATTTGACCTTGGAATTTTTCTCTTGGCTTACTTTCTCTTGAAATAACTGTTGATTCATAGGAAGTTACAGATTCTGTCTACGCTTTCCCCAGTTTCCCCATTGGTCACGCGTACATAATCCTAGTACAGTATCAACCAGGAATCCACGTGGGTATGATGCGCGTGTGTGTCCCATATCATTCTGTCAGACGTGAAGACTCTACCCACAATTTCCCGCACACTATGTCTTCATATTCACACACACACCCCTTGCCCTGCCATCCCTAGCTACCACTAATTTTTATGATTTTGGTCATTCAAGGATGTTATATAAATGGACTCATACAAAATATGCCCTTTTGAAATTGGCTTTTTTCACCTGGCATAATGTCCTGGTTTATGTTTATCTAACAATCTTACACAGATTGTCCCCAGATAAAAGTGGGCTGCATCCTCATAGCTCTTAGGGGATTCCTGCTCGTATTTTATGATTCACTACCTGTTTTATACACCTTTCTTTAATTCAGCGTGGCCTCTTGCTAAGAATGGCATCAGGTACACGAGCGGGATGGAAGGCTGTTTATTTACACTACTCATTCAGTTCTCAGTGACCTTGAAGGAAGGCTGGAACCCCGTTTTACAGAGGGGGAAATACAGAAATTTAAATACATGGGTCATTATGAAAGTTTTGCCATACATAAAAATCAAGAAACGTAAATCTCTGTGGATGGAAACAAAAGAAGCCCTCCCAGCAACACCAGTAAACTGAGCAAGCTGAAACTTGCAATGGTGAATCAGAAAGGATGCTGTCGACTGTGTTTCTGGGAAGTGAAATAATGGACCATAACATAGTCTGTCTCAAAACTTTTGTAGTGACCCATGTAATTTGCTGAAGACCTCAGCTGTTAAGTAATAAAGTTAAAAGTAGACCCCTGGTCTGCATAGTTCTAAGACTTCTTTCTGCTCTTTTCATTATCAACCTGAAGAAATACATTATAAAGGTATATGCATTTTTTCCCACAGACAAAAGAATTTATTAGGTACCTCTTTTATCAGCAACAGAATTAGTATATCAGTGTACTTAAGAAGGCAAAGCGAGGGCGTTGACGCAGAGACCTCCGGGTAAATATTGATAAATATTGAAACTGCACAAGAGAAAATTTGCAAAGGCTAGTAGAAAATAAGACTTGCTTTTCAAAAAGAGTGATTATAAAAACGCCAAGTCAATCTGAGGCTGGACCAGATAGAAGAGTAGCTAGAATTCATGTTTTGTTTTTTTTTTTTTTAATCAACCTGGTTTTTTTTTGGCTTTCACTTTGTGGCTATTTTATCTAAAAGGAAAAATTCATGATAATTTAAGGTTGTTGGTATACAACTATGGAAAATAGTACTACTTATTTTATATGAGGTTTGACGTTAAGAAATTTAAAGGTAAATGATCTAGAACTCATAAAAATTATTTAATGCTCTTGGAAAATGACTGCTATCATTGTATAATTCTTGATAGGGACAACAGAATTTTCTTAGTAATTCCATTCTGAAACAGAATAAGACTTAATAAATTATTTAAATTACTTAAAAAGTCATTTGCATCTAATTTAGTTTTAAATGTGATTTATGTGCAGTCAGCTGAACATTCATTCATGCATGCAAAATGTCCATTCCAAACCTTCCTTATGCAAAGCATTGTGCTAAATGTTGTGAGAATACCAACAAGTCTGTATAACTAAGGTAACTACTCTGCTCAGCTCGTATTCCAGCTCTTACCTTCATTTCTGTTTATTACTACACGATAAGCTATGACATTCTTTTAAAATAAAGCAGAAGATTCTGTAGTATTTGTTTAATATTTTGTTGTGGATTTTAGCAAGTACGAGATACAATTTTAGTATAGCTATAAAATGCCTTCACTCATGTCTTATGGTTTGAATAATTGTGAGACTCTTTATGTTCAGATGATTTGAAAGGAGAACTAGATGAATATGTCCAAAAATACCTCCCTGGAAAAATTAAAGTAATAAGAAATACAAAGCGTGAGGGATTGATCCGAGGAAGAATGATCGGAGCAGCCCAGGCAACAGGTAGGACTTCCTGTTGGCTTTTCCCTGTGGATGTTGGATGACAAGGGTTTGATTTTTCAGCCCTTTTCTGATTCTGTAGAGTCTGTGAAAAGTGGTGTTTTAGATGGCATCACCCTCAGGAGAGATGGAGCTTGTTCTCTTTTTATTTGTTTTTGTTTTTGAGACAGTCCCACTCTGTTGCCCTTGGTAGATTGTGGTGGCATTGCTCACAGCAACCTCAAATTCTTGAGTTCAAACAATCCTCTTGCCTCAGCCTCCCATGTAGTTGGAACTACAGGCACCCGCCACAATGCCCGGCTGTTTTTAGAGATGGGGGTCTTGGTCTTGGTCAGAGCTGGTCTTGAATTGGTGAGCTCAAGCAGTCCACCCATCTCCACCTCCCAGACTGCTAGGATTACAAGAGTGAGTCAGTGCACCCCAGCCCTAGGGCTCCTGCTCCAGAGCACACAGTGCCGTGTGGGTTGGACTTTGTTTTCCTAGTGATCTTTCTTATTGATTATTGCTCCTCAAGTGAGTTTTATAACTTGTTCACTTATATAAGCAGAAAAGTCCAATCTAAAGTGTGACTGAACTTTTATACATTTTTAAATAAAAAATTTAAAATATTTGAATTATGCTAATAATTCTTAGAGTGGAGCACATATCTCTAGAGACATGCACTGTGATTTTGGTTCGTAAATAGATATAAGATGGACCTACCTAACTGTAAAAGGTATTTGTTTTCATATTCCCTCTTAATTCTTCTGATTCCATGAGGGAGAAAGTCTTCATTGTTACTAACATGTCTTTACAACCATTCCATAGCCAGGCATTGGGGTTACTGGGGTGCTGAGGCAGGAGGGTCACTTGAGCCCAGGAGTTTGAGGTTGCTGTGAGCTAGGCTGAGGCCATGGCACTCTAGCCTGGTCAATGGAGTGAGATTCTGTCTCAAGAAAGAAAAATGTTTTAAAAGAACAAAGCAAAACCATTCTGTCATATACTTATCTTCCCCTTTAAAAAGAAAGAACAAGGCTCGGTGCCTGTGGCTCAAGTGGCTAAGGTGCCAGCCACATACACCTAAGGTGGCGGGTTCGAATCCAGCCCGGGCCCACCAAACAACAATGATGACTGCAACCAAAAAAAAAAATAGCCGAGTGTTGTGGCGGGCACCTGTGGTCCCAGCTACTTGGGAGGTGGAGATAGGAGACTCGCTTGAGCCCAGGAGTTGGAGGTTGCTCTGAGCTGTGATGCCACTGCACTCTACCCAGGGTGACAGCTTGAGGCTCTGTCTCCCAAAAAAAGAAAGAACAGGTATCAGGAGTCTTCTGTAGAATATATATCTGGTCAGTCTTCAGGTAAATTGGTTCTGTTGTATTTCTTTTTTATGATTACCTCTGTATAAAGTTAATATTCCTGCGCCAGCCACGTACACCTAAGGTGGCGGGTTCGAATCCAGCCCGGGCCCACCAAACAACAATGATGACTGCAACCAAAAAAAAAAATAGCCGAGTGTTGTGGCGGGCACCTGTGGTCCCAGCTACTTGGGAGGTGGAGATAGGAGACTCGCTTGAGCCCAGGAGTTGGAGGTTGCTGTGAGCTGTAATGCCATAGCACTCTGCCCAGGGGGACAGCTTGAGGCTCTGTCTCAAAAAAAAAAAAAAAAAAAAAAAAAGTTAATATTCCTAATTTTCATTTATGATCTTGATTTTTAAAATAAATGTAATTAAGTTAAAACAAATGAATTTATTTAAAAATATTAGGTATACAATTTGCAGGAAATACATGGACATGACAAAAAAATCAGGAAGATAATTTGGGACTATTGAATTTGGGGGGCTGGGGATTGGCTGGCAAACAGTGGCATCTTACTGCCTTGTACACCAAGCTCTTGTGGATGACCAGCCACGAGGGGTGTGGGGTTTGGCATTGCTCACACTACCCCTCTTATTGCCACTGGGCCCATTTGCTGGGTGTAGTTGGGATTTCACTTTTAGAATCTTCTCTTCTTCTGCCTCTTAAACCCACAGTGACTTGAAATAGTTAAGAATTAGAAGTAGCTCCTGTACATCCAGTCTGCAGTTGTATACAGACTGAATCTAAGATTTAGGATGCTTTCTTTTCAACGTTTGTAGTCAAATAAAGGAGTACTAACTTGACTGGGCTACTGAAAGCAAATGAGATAAGAGAAAATTGTGCGGTATTTTTGATACTATGCTGAGTAATATCAAACTTTTGAAACATTATACTGTTAAAATGCATGGGAGGCTGAGGCAAGAGGATTGCTTGATGTCAGGAGTTCAAGACCAGCCTGAGCATGAGGGAGACCCTGGCTTACCCCAAAACAGAAAAAATTTGCCAGGCATAGTGGTGCACACCTGTAGTCCCAACTGCTTAGGAAGCTGAGGCAAGAGGATCACTTGAGCCCAGGAGTTGGAGGTTGCTGTGAGCTGTGTTGATGCCATAGCACTCTACTGGGGACAACAGAGTGAGACTTTCTCCCAAAAAAAGAAACGTAGGTTTACTGTGAGTTGTTTTTTCTTTTTTTTTTCAGACAACAATAGTTATTTAAGGTTGTTTTCCGTAATTATTTTTTGTAGTCTTTCTCTATGGTCATCAGTTTTCTTTATAATCTATTTAAGTCCTGTTCAAATATAGTTTAGGATCTGTCAAAAGCAAACAAGTTTGGGGGAAGTCATTGTCACAGATTCAGTATGACCAGGTGCAGTCTTTATTTAGTTAGATTGGCAGTGATTGGAGAAAGTAATACTTTTAGAATTAAGAAAAGCTACGAAACCTTGATTGAACTGACCTCACACTGAGTGACATGGGTGCTGAGCAGTTTACCTTTCTACACGAAGTAGCCCCATGGCAGTGAGAGTGCTACTCCACATTCTCAGTAAGGCCATTTACAAACATTGGATTACAGGGCTAATTCAGTGTCATCACTGCAAACTTTCTCGTCTGAGGTATTTACCATTGGTTGAAATTAAGTAATTCACGTAAAATCTAATGTGTATGCATTGATGATGAGGTTCCACAACTGCTTGGAAGAGCCATAAAGTTATCAAAGAAATTGGGAATTATCAATAAAGTCCTCATTCCTGGCTCAACACCCATAGCTCGGTGGTTACGGCATTGCCGCATGCACCAGGGCTGGGTTTGCACCCAGCCTGGGCTTGCACCCAGCCTGGGCTGGCTAAACAACAATGAAAACTGCAACAGGAGAATAGCCAGGCATTGTGGCGGGTGCCTGTAGTCCCAGCTGCTGGGAGGCTGAGGCAAAAGAATTGCTTAAGACCAAGAGTTTGAGGTTGCTGTGAGCTGTGACACCATGACACTCTACCTGGGGTGACAAAGTAAGACTTTGTCTCCAAAAAAAGAAGTCCTCATTCTGGCTCACATTTATTAAGAGTTTAAAATGCAGGACAAACTGTTATGATTTATATTTTGCTAACTAGAAGACAGATGTATCCCATTGGCTGATGAGAGCCATTGAAGCTGAGAGCGTTGAGAGCAGTAGAAAGGAGGGTGGGAAGTGGGAGACCGGAGTGAGGGAGGCGTGAGGGAGGCGGGCTGGGGGGCCGTGCTGGGGGTTTGCAGTCCTATTATTACAGCAGTAATTGGTGGCCACAGTGTTGTTTCTGAGTCACTAATGAAAATGTAGTTTTGTTCTCTGTATTCTATTTACTAAGGTAGGGAAATGTGTTCTAAGCATATGCTAAATTTAGAAATATTTTGACTAAAATAATTGTAATAATATCTACATACGGGCAGCACCCGTGGCTCAAAGGAGTAGGGCGCCAACCCCATATGCTAGAGGTGGCGGGTTCAAACCCAGCTCCAGCCAAAAATTGCAAAAAAAAAATAATATCTACATACAATTGGCCACTGTCATCGTACTAAAACATCTTGAATCACCCTATGTCTGGCCATCCAGAGAGCTGAATTGTTGCTGTGAGACATTGACTCTTTCTACTGAAGAGATGCTCAGATGTGCGTATTGTTGGTATGTGTTCCTCAGGGACACTTCAGGCAGAATTCTCAGCTACAGAACTAACCTTGGTTACAACTGGCAGTGCAGGGTGAGGGTTCGTTGTTGGGGCGGTACTGAAGCAGAGTGTTAGCCAGCTCTCTTGAGCCTCTCTTGCTGCCCTCAGGAGAAGTGCTTGTGTTCCTGGACAGCCACTGTGAAGTGAACGTGATGTGGCTGCAGCCCTTGCTGGCCGCCATCCGGGAGGACCAGCAGACTGTGGTGTGCCCAGTGATCGACATTATCAGCGCTGACACGCTCGCCTACAGCTCTTCCCCTGTTGTCCGCGGAGGGTTCAACTGGGGGCTGCACTTCAAATGGGACCTTGTCCCCCTTTCTGAGCTAGGAGGAGAAGAAGGAGCCACTGCTCCCATAAAGTAAGATTTCTCCTTTACATATGAAAATTCCCACCAGTACTTCCTCAAAAAGAAAAAATATATATTAAAGATAATTCCTTCTTTGTAAGGAGCAGGAGATTGACTTTATTTGTGCACCAAAAAATTCTTGAGTGCTTATTGTATTTTGTGTATTCTGCCAAGTCATAAGGAAAGGTTTAAGAGCACAGTGTTATCTATGTCCACAAGGACTCAAGTGTGTCGGAAAGGCAGACACACCAGCTCGGCAGCCCCGCCCTGAGGCTGCTGGCAGAGACAGCCCTGCCAGGGCCCTGTGTGCCCTGTGTGTTGTATCAGGTGCTATGGCTCACTGTGGTGGTCCTTATATTATAATAATATAATATTGTCACAAATATTTAATACATAAGTCATGGTGTATGAATTATTTTACATTCTTATCCATGTTCCATATATATATATATATATATTTTTTTTTTTTTTTAGACAGAATCCTACTTTGTTGCCCTCAGTACAGTGCTGTGGTGTCACAGCTCACAGCAACCTCAAACTCTTGGGCCCAAGTGACTTCCTTACCTCAGCCTCCAGAGTAACTGGGACTAGAAGTGCGTGACGCAAGGTCTGGCTATTTTTAGAGGTTGGAGTCTCATTCTGGTTCCAGCTGGTCTCAAACTTGTGAGCCCAGGTGATCCTCCAGCCTTGGCCTCCCAGAGTGCTGGGATTACAGACATGAGCCCCCATGCCTGGCCAGTAATGCAAATCTGCTCTGATGTGTTGTTCCTTCTTCTTTTAGTTTTCTTTAAAATTTCTTATGTAGATTGAATACAAAGGAGTTTACTTGTATTTTCACTTTTTAAAGTTCTTGAACCTACTCTTTCTTCAAAACTTTATTTTGGAAAATTAGAAAAAATTACGTAAAATCATTTAAAATTTTTATAAAAATTATATAAATTATATCAAGTATGTGCTACATATATACACACACAGTTTAGCGAGTGGTTATAATGTGAACTGTGTAACCACCACCCAGGTCAAGAGAGAGCACCCAGAATCTGGTCCCCTGTGCATCCCTTCCTGGTCACACCCCTGACACCTAAAAGTGTCACTGCCCCGATCTTGGTAATCATTTTCTTTCCTGTGTAGTTTTGCCACCTATTAATGCATCTCTAAACAGAAGCGGTTCAGTTTTATGCGCTCTTGTGCTTTACGTAGGTAGCGCCTCTAACTATTTGTCTTGCTTCATTTGCTCAACCCTATTTTAAAAATACTCCCATGTTGCCCGTGTAGCTGTAGTAAATTCATCTTCATTGTTGTGTCATGTTCTTTCTACAGTAAGTTACAGCTTACTGTAACTGACTCATCTAGTTCACTGTTCTCTGGTGAAGCGGCACTGGTAGACAACAGTCTAGTGAAGAGTGAAATTGCTGAGTCACAAGATAGGCTTTTCTTCAACTTTGGCATCTAATGTCATCCTAAAATGGCAGGTGACTAGATGCCCTCAGTTGGCCTTTGGGAACTTGTTAGCCTTCTTTCATCAGAATCAGACCCGAGGGCACTCGGCCTGTTCCAGGGGTCTGATGTGATCTCCCAGCAGCATGAGGTCTCTTTTGCTGTGTCCTGCTTTATTTGTGAGAATCTGCTGCAGTTCTTCACAGAACTAGCCAAGCCTGGGAGCAGAGCCCAGCCAGCTCTTTGCTGTCTTCCTGAGCTCACGATACTTCCCCTCACAGTCTGCAGGCCTTTCAGGGTGGGTCCCGGCTCTGCACCTGGGACTCAGATGGTGGAGTGCCTCTTTCAGGAGAGCGGCACCCCACTGGGGACTGGTGTCCATGTGACCTCAGAGCCAGTGATTGGAGACAGACAGCAGTGACCAGCTGTTTCCTGTTTCCTTTTGGACTTCTCATCTTTTCAGTAGGTGAAATTTATGTTTTTAAGTTTTTCATTGCAAGAAGAAAGTATCCTAGACTTTCTTACATGTATTCTCACACTTAATTTTTAGTTGCCATGTTTGTTTTTGCCTTTTTCATCATATACAAGGTCATTTGTTTTTCATTGTTTAATTTTTTATATTTTTAATCAAAAACACACATTCAGTAACATATAGAAGAACTTAGGATGAAATGAGACCGTCCCCTACCCATTTTCTCCCTATTTCTCTCCAGAAAGAAACTTTTAACAGTTTCTCTTTTTAGTCTTGCTTCTTATTTGCTGAACTCTAGATAATAACCCTGTTTCTCTTCTTACCAACCAGCTGCAGACTGCATGGAAACCGAGGATGCGGCTCCCTGGCCCTGTCTCCTGCTGCTCTAGGGTCCTTACTTGGAGTAGCTGTCTTGGTTACTTTTTTTCTCTTTTACTGTTAGTCTTTCCCTGATTCTTTTTCTTTCTTTTTTTTTTTAGATAGAATCTTACACGGTCACCCTGGGGAGAGTGATGTGGCATCTTCATAGCTCAAAGCAACCTCAAACTCTTGGGCTCAAGAGATCCTCTTGCCTCAGCCTCAGAGTAGCTGGGGCTACAGGCACCGGCCACATCACCTGGCTAGTTTTTCTATTTTTAGTGGAGACAGGGACTCCCTTTGCTCAGGATGGTCTGGAACTCCTGAGCTCAGGCCGCCTACCTGTGTCAGCTTCCCACAGTGCTGCCATTACAGGGGTGGGCTGCCGTGCGTAGCCAGTCTTTTCCATGATCTTATATTTAGATGTAAGCAGGATCTTAACAGTTGCTTTTATTTTAATGACTTTTTAAAACCCATGTGAAAAATTTTGTCTTTTAAGATTCTAGTTCTAACTGTTTGCTTTCTCTTTGTCCTGTGTGTCCTGTATTCTTTTTTCTCTTCTCTGGCCTTCTGTTGGACAGAGCCCAGATTTTTCTCTTCTCAGCAGCTCCCCTGTTATTAGAAATTACATATTTTTATATACAGTTCTCTTGGTGATTTCCCTAAAGAATACAGTGTAAATTTTTTTTTTTTTTGAGACAGTCTCACTTTGTTACCCTGGGTGGAGTGCAGTGGTGTCACAGCTCACAGCAACTTAAAACTCTTGGGTATATGAGAGTCTCTTGCTTCAGTCTCCTGAGTGGGAGTACAGGTGCCCACCACAATGCCCAGCTATTTTTTTGTTGTAGTTGTCATTGTTGTTTAGCAGGCCCAGCCCGGTTTTGAATCCGCCAGCCCCCGTGTATGTGGCCATTGCCCTAGGTGCTGAGCTATGGGTGCCAAGCCTACAGCATATATTTTTGATTTATCAAAATGATTTATAAATTGGTACTTGCCCTGAACGATGCCAGGGTCTCCGAATGTTCATACCCCAGTTATCCACCACTGAAGTTACATGCTGCTGTTGATGTGCACGTGCTCTAAACCTCGTGAGACAGAATCCGTCATGGAGCTGTGTGTTTCCTCTTTCTCCCACTCTGTTCCTCCCGCACCTGTGAGTGTCTCTGTGGGACTTCTCATTCCGGCGACAGAGCACTCCTGAGTATCTCCTTCAGGGGGACCATCTATTCGTTACTTGTCTTTGTTTTTCTGAAAATGTCCTTGTTGCATCATTATTTTGAAGACCACTTTGATGTCCAGATCTTGGTTGAGAGGTACTTTCTTTGAGGACTTTTAAAGCAGCATCCAGGCAGCTGTGGCAGCGACTCCTTCAGACGGGAAGCAGCACAGTCTGCCTCGCTTTGCTTCCTTTGAAGACGATCCCTTTACAACTGGGTGCTTAAGTTTTTCTGTCTTGTTTTTTATATACTTATAAACCTTGTTTCTTTTTTGATAGTATTTAATTCTCTGCCAAATTCTTGATCTTGTCTCTTATCTTTGAACATATCAAGCAGTTTCTTCAGTCTCTGCTTGATAACGCCATACTTGCAGCCCCTGCACACCTATTTCTATTGTAGTTTATATACAGTTCTCTTGGTGACCTCATGTTTCTCTTTCATGTGGTTTTATCTTCTTGATTGCTTGGTTATTTATTTTTGCTTAGTGCCAGGCATTATATATGAAAAATTACAGAACCACATTCATGCCTAGATGATGATTTCCCTGCAGAGAGAATGTTGCTTCTCTAGTACAGGCAGCTAAGGCCCCCGGCCCCACTGTGCCCTGGGACCCACTCTGAGGACATGAGAGAACTGGGAGCCCAAGCCTCTGTGAGGCCAGGCTGCTTAGTTTCTCTCACTCCCACATGGGCTTCTCAACCTCAGCATTTTAAGATATTTAGTAAAATCCCTGGCTTCAACCCGCATAAACACACTAAATTGTGTAGCATCCTCCCACATAAACACACTAAGTTGTGACAGCTAAAAATGCTCACAACGTGAAATGTCTGCTAGTGGACACAGCCACTGTTCTAACATGCATGTGAGTTCACCTCCAAATAAGAAGAGTCCTTTTGGCTGAGCAAGACACTCATAATGGGAGTCCTAGCACTTTGGGAGGCCAAGGTGGGGCGATCCCTGGAGCTTAGGAGTTTGAAGTTACAGTGAGCTATGATGATGCCACTGCACTCTGGCTGGGCGAAGGATTGAGACTGTGTCTACAGATGAATGAGTGAATGGATGAAAGAAAAGTACTTGTGATACTTAGAAAAGTAACCTTCATATGCTTAGCATATTATTAGCTGTATGGACCATCAGTTGTATGGTCAAACTCATTCTGATATTAGATAAAATATCTTATAATAGTTAATGTAGTTTTTTTTTTCCAGTTTTTGGCCAGGGCTGGGCTTGAACCCTCCACATCCGGCATATGGGGCCAGTGCCCTACCCCTTTGAGCCACAGGCACCACCCAGTTAATGTAGTTTTTATCAATAATGTTCCAAGACTACACTGAATTTTTTTTTAACAGCACAATAGGTAAGATAACTTTATAGAATTAGTAATTATTTTCCTTTTCTAGGTCACCTACAATGGCTGGAGGATTGTTTGCCATGAACAGACAGTATTTCCATGACCTTGGGCAGTATGACAGTGGCATGGATATCTGGGGAGGAGAAAATTTGGAAATATCATTTCGGGTAATTTTATTTCTTTGATTTTTCATTTAAGAACTTTGTGTGTAGTAGGGTATATTTTTCATCCATTAACTCATATTTTCTGTAAATTCTCCTTGGTTGTCTATATTGACAAATTATCTTTAATGAATGCTACTTTACCATAATCTACAATAGGCGTCCTCAAACTACAGCCCGTGGGCCCCATGCAACCTGCCTAGGACATGTAGCCGGCCCACCGGGTGTTTTTGCTGCCCCTGCCTGTCCTGCTTAGCAGCTGACTCATCTCGGGGCTCACAGTTCAGCCCTCCAACCGTCTGAGGGACAGTGAACTGGCCCCCTGTTTAAAAAGTTTGAGGACCCCTGATCTACAATACGAATAATACTACCCACTCAGAATGTTGAAAGCATATAAGAAGTTTTGTATTTAGTTTTTACGAAAGTAAAAGTATGGTTGTAATGAATGGTTGGGTATAAATCCAGAAAGTCTCAATGTGCATTTAATCCAGAGTTTTATTTTTTCTTTGTCATTTTATTTTATTTATATCACTAGATGTGTACAGTGATCAGATTTCCCTGTTTTCTTAAGACTGTTCTGGATCACACTTGTTCTCCTGGAGAAGTGAATAGCTTACCATTTCACTTTCAGTGGTAGCTCGGTGTGATGCTAAGTTATGCCATCACTCCATAAAGGATCACTGTATCCTGTATACAGGGGGGCCATAAAGTTCGTGTGCAGTTTTAAATTGTACACTATTTTAAGTTACATACAAACTTCATGGACACCCTATATATGCAGGTACCTTTACCCTGAGGGGAAAATTCACCTTTCATAATCTCTCCTCTTCTTCATTTGGTAGGTTTGAAAGGTAACAGTCTGGGAAGGGGCTGTGGCTCAGGGAACTGCACTGGTAGATAGGCTTTGGAAAAGGCAGAAAAACTCAAGGGGAGAACTGAGATTTCTCCTTCCAGGCAGATTTCCCATCATCTTCTCCACCAGGTAGCAGAATCCCTGTCAGATAATATGACAGTACTTACAGAGGTGACTACGACGACACCAGTATTTATGCATATGTTATTTTGTGTTTTTTGCAAATGAATTGACTACAGTGTTTTTTCAAAGGCCGGTTTTTCTTTATAATCTAGAATTTTAAGGTTGAAAGTCATAACAGTTACCAAGATATTTTAGTTTAGTCTTTTTTTAGACAATTGAGCCTTACAAAAATTAATACTAACTCAGGATAGTCAGGGGCAAAATTTAGACCAGAACTAAGGTCTTTTAAGTCTTTTTTTTTTTGTAGTTTTTGGCCGGGGTTGGATTTAAACCTACCACCTCCGGCATATAGGGCTGGCGCCCTACTCCTTTGAGCCACAGGCACCACCCCCACGTCTTTTAAATCTTAATCTAGAATTTTTCTGTATATTCTGTTGAAAAAAACTGTTTTCTAAAAACTGTACATACATTTTATAAAAAAGTACCTGTGAAACTGAAATTAGAGAACCAATTAATAAGCATTCCTTATCCCTAAGTCCCTAAGATCAAATCTCTTAATCTATTAAAGTAGCAGTTCTCAACCCGTGGGTCATCCTGCATATCAGATATTTACATTATGATTCATAACAGTAGCAAAATTATGGTTATAAAGTAGCAATGAAAATAATTTTATGGTTGGGTGTCACCACATCATGAGGAAATGTATTAAAGGGTCGCAGCATTAGGAAGGTTGAGAACCACTGGCTTAAAGTAATGAAATATGATGAGTTCAATATCAGACATGTGGTATTAAATTAATATTATATTATTTTGGAATCTAGGTCCTTTTTAATCATAAAGACTTATAATTTTTTAAATGTATACCCTCTGACTTTATTCAATTTGAATATTTATATCTGATAAGATAAAATATCTTACTGGGTTTCATAATCATTTATTTAATAAAGATTGATTATGTTGAAAATTCAGATGTTGATTTTACAACAGTGTGAGGCAACTCTTAATACCTGTTTTGCTTCTGGCCAGATCTGGATGTGTGGGGGTAAGCTCTTCATCATCCCTTGCTCTAGAGTGGGACACATTTTCCGAAAAAGGCGACCATATGGATCACCCGAAGGCCAAGACACCATGACACACAACTCTCTGAGGCTGGCACACGTCTGGCTGGATGAATACAAGGTAAGGGGGCATTTCTTGTTCAGAGGGTGAGTGGCAGGCCAGTCACCACGTGGGTAATGGCTTTGGTGGCTCTTCATTACACTCAGACTTATTTCTGTTCGGCTAACTTCACTTTAGGGCCATCTGTTTGTAGGGTTTTTTTTTCTCTCTTCTCTTCCCTCAGTATTTCACTTGTTTTTTACTGTAATCTGACTCTTAGTTTTTTGTGATGCAGCCAACATCACTAGAAACTCTGTGCTGTTTCTGTTACTCCTTCTGGCCCCTCTGGTGACTCCCATGGAGTTGGCATCTTTCTCTTGGTCACTGGGCTTGGCTGGGACATAACCCATTACTCACGCATTGAGCAGTCTTTCCTACTTTCTCTTCTGCCTTAGGTCACTTTGGTATGCTTTTTAAAAAATAATTAATTAATTAATTAGTTATTTTTGAGACAGAGCCTCAAGCTATCCCCCTGGGTAGAGTGCCATGGCATCACAGCTCACAGCAACCTCCAACTCCTGGGCTCAAGTACTTGAGTCTCCTGCCTCAGCCTCTAAAGTAGCTGGGACCACAGGTGCCCACCACAACGCCCAGCTATTTTTTTTTTATTTGGTTGTAGCCATCCTTGTTGTTTTGGCGGCCCAGGCTGGATTTGAACCCACCACCTTAGGTGTATGTGGCTGGCGCCTTAGCCACTTGAGCCACAGGTGCCGAGCCTGGTATGCTTTTTTGAGGCATAATTCACAAATAAATTTTGGAACATTTTATCACCTGAAAACTTTTTTTTTTTTTGACACGTAATCTCTATTGCTCAGGCTGCAGTGCTGTGGTGTCATAGCTCACAGCAACCTCAAACTCTTGGGCTCAAGTGATCCTCTTGCCTAAGCCTCCCAAGTAGCTGAGAATACAGGCACTTGTCACAATGCCTGGCTAGTTTTTTTTTTTTTCCTAGTTTTAGTAGAGATGGGATCTTGCTCTAGCTCAGGCTGGTCTCAAACTCCTGAGCTCAAGTGATCCATCATGTTGGCCTCCCAAGGTGCTGACATTACAGGCATGGGACACTGTGCCCAGCTTGTGCCCCCCAAACTTTCATTCGTCACACCCTTCTCCCCAGCCCCAGACAACCACTAATCTACTTCCTGACCCTACAGTTAATTGCCTTTTCTGGACATAAAAATGGAATCCTACACTGTGTGATCTCTTCTCGCTGAGCAGGGTCTCCGGTGAGTGCGCTGTCTGTGTCAGCACTTCACAGCTCCCTGTGTCAGTGTAGGAAGGGACTGCAGTTTACTCAGCCATGCATCAGCTGATGGACATTGGTGTGATAGTCCATTTTTGACTGTTATGAAAATGCTTCTGTACTTATGAAGTTACTTTTTAAAATATTAACTGAGCATGTACTGTGGAAGGATTTAAGGGGACAAAAGGTGAATAAGGGAGCAAGCAGTGGTTTCGGTCCTGTGAGGCGAACCCAGTGGGGGCTTGTGACATAAGCTGAATTGAAGGGGCACGGCAAGGAGCCACAGCACTTCCAGGCACTCACCCCGCCCACCTTCATGCTAACCTTTGAAGCCTCACTGCCGTAATAGTTCTCAAAATATGGTTAGGTCCTAGACACTCTTTCAGGAGGCCGCCTGGTCAAATTAAAGATTTGCCACTTACACCATGTTGACATTGCACTGATGGTGCAAAAGCAGTGCTGTCTTGGCGCAGATCAAGGCCCTGGCTCCAGATTGTACCAGTAGGAAACGCGTTTTCACCCTACTCCCAAGTTGAAACAGGAAAGGCCGACTTCATCAGAGAATGTCAACACGTCTTTGTTCTGTGGGGGATGCAGTTCACACAGAAAGCACTTTTGCTGCATACTGGTTATTTCATGGGAAGGTATTTGTGTTGTTTTGTGATCTGAGCCAGCCAGCATTCTCCAGGAACATTCTTCTTATGTAAAAGAATGACTCACAAAACATATTTGAGTATTTGGCAGATACTTTGTCAAAAATTAACCAAGAAGTGAAATGAAAACAAACAAACAAAAAAACAACTGATAGTATTTGTTGCAAATGATAAAATTCAAGCGCTCAAATGAAAGTCCAAATTTTAAGGCCGGGTGTGGTGGCTCACGCCTGTAATCCTAGCATTCTGGGAAGCTGAGGTGGGTGGATTGCCTGAGCTCATGAGTTCAAGACCAGCCTAAGCCAGACCTCATCTCTTAAAAAACAATAGCTGTGGCAGGCCCCAGTAGTCCCAACTACTTGGGAGGCTGAGGCAAGAGAATTGCTTAAGCCAAAAAGTTTGAGGTTGCTGTGAGCAGTGATGTCATGGTACTCTACTGAGGGTGACAAAATTAGATTCTGTCTCACAGAAAAAGGAAAGTCCAAATTTTAAAAAGCTTGTATCCACTGCGATGAGCTTGACAGCTTCCTGATACTTAACCATTTTATTAGTGAGATGGGTGGTGATATATGAATGTGATTTTTTTTTTTTTTTTGAAACAGAGTCTCCTTCAATAGAGTGCCGTTGTGTCACAGCTCACAACAACCTCAAACTCTTGGGCTCAAGAGATTCTCTTGCCTCCGCCTCCCTTGTAGCTGGGACTATACGTGCCCACCATAATGCCTGGCTATTTTTTGTTATCATTATTGTTGTTTGTTTGTTTGTTTGTTTAGCAGGCTCGTGCAGGTTTGAACCTACCAGCCCCATGCATGTGGCTTGTGCTCTAATTGCTGAGCTATAGATGCTAAGGCTGAATGTGATTTTTTGCTATTATATAGTGAAATTTTTCAATATTTTGCAGAATGTACCATACAATAGGCCAGTATTTTCCAAATGACTAATGCATAATATTACAAAAATCTTACATGGATAAAAGATCAAAGAGAAAGACCAGGACATTCTATTGCACCATGTATGAAAATCTCAATGATGTGTCTTTATGTGTCAAGTTGGTGTAGTATCAAAAAAATAACCATAACTATCTGTAATACCTATTAAAATATTCTTTCTGGCTCGGCGCCTATAGCTCAACCGGCTAAGGCGCCAGCCACATACACCTAAGGTGGCGGGTTCAAAT